ATTTTAAAAGATTCCATTCCAAATCTAGTTCAGATGGGGTGATTTCAATAACGTGTTGTAAACATGTGCTGCGGTTTACGGTCTGTATATCTGAGTGGTGGTGAACTGGTCGCCGAGTTTTGCTGCTTTTGTCGCTGTCGTTGTTGTCGCTACTGCCGTAACATTGTGTTTAGTTCTTGGAGAGAAACCTTATTCTCGGAGCGCCTCTTCAGAGAAAAAGAGAGGTTGGATTGAAAATCGGCCAACTGCCAGGAGCATCATACGACATACTTTGGAGTAACTCCACGATGGACTGTTGAGCCATTCGAAGACAATTAAAAATTCCCCTTGTCGCTTAATGCCCCTGTTGACGGGATTAACTCAGGCATGAGGGGCAACCTTCCTTGTGAGTTCATAAACATATCTCAAGATTTCCGCCAAGTTCACGTGATGAAAAAACGGATCGTAATTCCCATTAAATTGGGTTAAGTAGAACAAAATTATTTCTATTGTAAAATAGGTTGGGGTTTTTTAACGTGGTTAATGACACTTATAAAACAGAAGTATAATCGTCTGTCTCAATATGTGGTCACTTGAATGTGATTGGATGGAACGCAACTGCTGTGATTTGGTGCATCTATGGAAAGTTCCCTCAACGGCCTGTTGTCGCACAGTTCTCTTGCTGCCGTATCTTGTGATCGTCGGCATCCAGGCTGTAGACTTTGCCGCACTCACAGCATCCCTTCCGTCGTACTTGGTGTGATCGTAACGCAGCTCTGACTAAAAGTCAGCGCGTATGCCTTTTTGTTGCAGATGGCGGTGAAGTTGTGAAAGACCCTTGACATAGGGCAGGACTGCGATGGATCTGAACTCGGTGGGGGTTCAACGCTGGCGGTTAGTGTCTTTGTATTTTTTACCCTCTGCAATTTCTCATAGGCAACTTTATTTCTCATTCTTAAACTGAATCACGTCAAGAAAGAGTTAGGAGACATAGAGTATATAACCTGACTTTCTCATCTTAATAACAGAGCGTCAACAAAAGAACTGAACTGAAAAGGTGAAAAATTATATTTTGATCTTC